GGGTCCAAAACATGATAAATTTTATTTTCTCCATACAAATGAGATGTCCCAATTAAACATACAAGTCATCAATCAAGTTTCATAAAAAAATTACACTCCATAAAACAAAGCATGAGCTAACTCATCACGGAAGGCATTCATGTCGATATCTTCAACAAGAGGTTCGTCTTCTGGCCATGCGGATGCAGAAGAACTAGGCATTGGGTTATAATTTTCATCCGCATCACAGGCATCAAATTCCCTATCCGGAATTCTGCTCTCTCGAATGAAATTATGAAGAGCCATACAAGCAACAATAATTCTAGTTTGCTTGTCCTCTGGAAATTTTGGCATGTTCAATAAAATCCTAAATTTCATCTTCAACACTCCAAAGGATCGCTCAACGACATTCCTAACTTTGGCATGTGCATGGTTGAAGGTTTCTTTCATACCTTGTGGCGGCGGGCCGTTTTGCCATTGTTGTACATGGTACCTTGTACATCTGTATGGTGAAAGGTAGCCCGGACGGTTTGGGTACCCCGCATCAACCACATAATACTTCCCTGCATATTGTGAAAGACACACAATGAGACTTAGATGAACAAGTGTAATTGGATAAAAAATGTTGCAAGACATTTCAAGTAGCAAACCTGGTGGTGGATGTGGAAATTTTTGATGATGAGTAGTTCTGGCATCTTTCAAAACTCTCATGTCGTGTGCTGAACCAGGCCATCCCGACATCACAAATGTAAATCTCATGTCGAAATCACAAACAGCAAGCACATTCTGACTGGTTTTATTGTGCCTGTTCAAGTATGGAACCCTCTTACTCTTATCCACCACAACATTCACATATGTCCCATCTATAGCTCCTATGCAGTCATTGAAGTGTGGCTAGAATGCTGGATTTTCTAAGTTTGGGTGCACCTCTGAAAATGTTGGGTCCTTGGGTACAATTATGTCATGTGCTAACCTGAGGAGGCATGTCAAAACTCTGTTAAATGTCCTACTTACTGTCTCCATGGACCTCCTAAAACGGTTCTCAGCCTGTCTAACTGACTGTGGTGATCCAACAATCCATAAAAACATAGCTAGAGCCTCTACAGACGTCATTTTTGTAGTGGACTTCAAGCCATATGATTGCACCAAAGTATTATGTAGCTTGTTAAACAAAGGTCTCTCAACACTAGACATGTTATAGCATTGGGTATCTCAGGCTAGTGTCTCCTGCACCCACTCCAAACCAGAATATCCACTGACCCTCCTAGGTAGTTTCACAAAGTAGTTATCAGAGTACATACCCAAGACAGGAACCAACTTCAAGATTAAATTCTCAAACTGCACCAAATCGTTGCGGCACATGGATATGATCTCATCCTCACTTGTGCTACCTCCATCATATTGTTCTTCCTCAATCATGGGGACATGATCTTCTTCCTGTTTCAACACATGTATCAAATTGTCAACACATATCATAAAACTTGAAGGAATGTAAGCAAATGAAATTAATTCAGCCCGCGGATAAAACAAAATAGGTTCAACACAGATAATAGTTCAACACCTCACAAACACATGATAGGTTCAACATACAACAATTTAAATAGATTCAACATCTTAACACACACTTCAGAACTACTCCAAATTGTTGTCCCTGCGCCATTTTTTGAAGTAACCTAACCTAAGCTCAGGAGTTAACAGGCCACAAAAGAACTCCCTTTGGCACTCTGTTTCGAACATCTTAGACATAGCATAGACAGAGTCAACTGTTTGCTCAACGCCACACTCAAATGCCAGCTCCTGACACCTCTTCACAGAATATGCAGCCTTCTCATTTGCACGTTTCTGCATTTGTTTAGTGTTGGCTGCGACAGACTCCTTGTAGGTATTGGCCATGTCCTTGACAATCTTCACCATTGGGCTCTTGCTCTTCTTCAATGGACTGGTCAAAGTGCTTGAAGTGCTTAATGACCTCTTGCCCCTTTGGCCCCTCTGGTTGCTTGTACTTGTAGGTGTTCCTTGAAACTCCTCCTCTTCCTCTTCTGCCCCTGCATCTTGCCCTTGATTCTGACCATAATCATCTCCAGGCACAAATGCTGTGCTTCCATCCACAGTGTAACCTCTGAATGGTCGATCAAGCAACTCCTCGTTTGCTGGAGGACCCCACTGCAACTTCCTAAGGCATGGTTTCTTCTGCAGGATAGTGAAAAAGTAAAACTAGTTAAGATATGAGAGATTCATCAAGATTTACTCAGTACACACTCATTTGTACAAAAGTAGTATATACTCAGTAAAAATAGAAGTAGATCACAAGTAATCAGTACCTATTCATTCTGAATGAAAAAACACCCAGTATATGCATATTACGAAACCAAGCAGTATATACTGTATACGCAAAAGAAAAACAGTACACATTCGTTTGGATAAAAGTAGTATATACTCAATAAATACAGTATGTATCCATTCTTTCTTGGGACATAAAAAAATGTATGGATTATTTTTTTGGTGTTAAACAGTGCATGCACATTTGTTTTATCTTCTCTGGCTGTTTGTTTCTTGCGATTAGGTATATCCAAGATGAAGTATCGGCTCAGATTCATTAAGATTTACTGCTCCAGACTTAAATTATTTGACTGGTTCAGATTCATCAACAGTCCATTTTATTTACATAAAAGCATATATAGTCGTAACTATGTGCATAGAAGACCCATATACTTTGCCAATGCAATGAAAAAAAATCACAGCAGCGACCCAACTGAGTAGGAAGAAAAACTTGGTCACAACCGCGGATAAATCTTCACAGCAGCGACCCAACATATTTAAAGATATACTACATTGATATAGACAGTAAAAGTGTACCTATATGTGTGTAATCCAGAATTCAGAGTCGACATCAATGGGTGTCTCGTGTTTTTGAGTACAACTATCTGGTTCTTCACCTGCACACGAGAATACACCAACCCCCTTCTAGCAAGCAAGCCATCGATAACAGTTTGGTACCCTTCAGCACTCATCACCACACCATTATACGTTCCTGCTGCACATTGCTCAATGCACAATTCTAACAAGCAAGCACTATTAGCATCACTCCATTGGGCTCGATTGCTTTGGCTCACCAGGGGACCTCCGGAGCTCGCTAACTCCTCCACATCATCCTCCAATTCTTCATCACCATTGTCGAAGGGGCCGCCGGAGCCGGATGCTTGCCCACGGACGGCACTCCTCGGAGCCCGGCGGCTGGGTGCCGCGGCGGCCGAGTTGGCGCGCTGCCGAATGTCGCCGCCATGGAACGCCATCCTGGTGCGCTGGTTACGGCGGCTGGGTGCCGCGGAGGCCGAGTTGGCGCGCTGCCGAACACCGCCGCCTGCCCCCGACAACGACCCGTCGAGGAACACACCACTGTTTGCTCCGCGACCGGCTGTTGCCGACAAGGAGCCGCCGAAGTTCAGTCGCCGGGCGTAGGGTGGGCGATAGGGAGGGAGCCCGGAGCCCCTGACGCGCCCAGGGAGGGAGCTCATCATCGTTGCTCTGGAGGAAGGCTCCGTAGAGCCCAAGCCCCGGGAACCCCTCCGACGCCGGGGCTTGCGAGTTGAGGTCAAGATCGGTATGGGTAGCGGGGCCGCTTGCCGTCGGCTGCGAACCCCACGCATCGAAGCCGTCTCCGTCCATCGCTGGTGCTCTGCTCCAAGCTATACTACCTGAACCAGAAGAGAAGAATCAGTAGCGCATTCAGGAAGTGCTACAAGCAAGCCGAACTCAACACCGCACACGCAGTCGTGCTCTTCTGCGGAATAAGTAATCTTGTCCATGTTAACTTATGAGATACATTTCTAACTTTGATTATTTATAACAGCTAGTGCATAACAAAAATGAAATTGTACCAAAATATTATTTAATGATGAAGTATTGAGTTGATTACACTATATAGATCAGCTCTTCGTTTCTTAATGCTCTAAATTTGCACAAGAACATCTGCAACAAGAGAAGGGGCTGAACATCTGCAGCTCACTAGGTAACTAAACAGAAGTATCCAGCCACACCGCTGCTCACTAGCTAACTAATCGGAAGTTCCGCCAACATATCTAGCTACTCTTGCTGACTTGCTGCACAGACGGACGCCTACGAGGAGGGAGAGCACGAGTACAGAAGGAACGGACGGACTCACCTCTCGCTGGATCCCTAGTAGATGCGCCGCCTCCGCGCACAAGAGAGAGAGAGAGAGAGAAACGACCGGGAGCGGGGCGAGCTTCGGACGGGGAGGGCGAGCGGTGACCGGAGGAGGGCGAACGCCGTCCAGAGGAGGTCGCGCCTTGGGCGGGCAGCGCGGCGGCCGACGCTTGGATGGGCGGCGCGGTGGGGAACGGGAGGTGTGCGCGAGGGACGGAGGGATCTGATGTGGGAGGCGATTTTTTAGTTATTCTTTTTGTGGGCCCCGGAAAAACTAGCCCAACTAACACCCCTCCACCGGGATACTTTTTTTTTTACATGGGTTATTAGAGGCAACTAACTGAAACTAACCCATCTGTTTGGATCCTTTTGAGCTATTTGAGCCCAAAACAACTCAAACTAACACTAACTCTAGGATCCAAACAGGGCCACAGTTAGAGCACGGCAGCTGCGCTGTCGGGTGCCACGGCGTGCACGGTACACCACCACGGCAGTTGACAGTTGAGTAGGCGGCCATCGGGTCCAACCCAGCGAGGCAGCCCGCTCCCGGCGGCCAAAGCAACGCAACACACGCAACGCACGCGCGCGGCGACAGTTCCGCTCTCGCCCGGCCGCCCGGTGGTCTCCTCACTTTCCTTTGTCCGTCCGCTCTCTTTCCCAATCATTCCCCTCTCGCCATCGCTTCCTCCGCCAGCCACCCCGCCCTCCATCCACCTGCTCCGCTCCTCTGTGCGCACCCAACCCACGGCCCCGGGATCGGACCCCCGTCCCCAGATCCGCTCCGCGCATCCGACCTAGCTCTACCCTTTGCTCCGCTCTTCGGCCGGGGAGCAGCAGCAGCGGGCGAGGGCGAGGGGATGGAGGGCCTGGCGCAGCGCGCGGCGCTGCTGCGGGACTCGCTCGGGAAGAGCCAGGCGGCCACCGACGCCGTCGTCTCCATCCTCGGCTCCTTCGACAGCCGCCTCTCCGCGCTCGACGCCGCCATGCGCCCCATCCAGCTCCGCACCCACGCCGTCCGCACCGCCCACGAGAACATCGACCGCACCCTCCGCTCCGCAGACGTCATCCTCACACAGTTCGACCGCACCAGAGAGGTACTGTCTCTCCCCCCAACGATCCAGCCCCCTCCCCTCCCTGCCCCCCGCACGCTCTCGGATCCCCATTGCATTGCGTTGCTGCTGGAACCGTGGCCGGCAGGCGATCGAGTGTGGGGAAAGTTTTGTGTTTGGTGGCGTGATCACTCCATTCTACTAGTACATCTCAAGCTGTTGAGTGCAAGCAAGCTTAGTGTCAGTTACCCAATTATAGCTTTTTGTACTTGGAATTGTCGATTTTCCTTCCCATGGGAAATTCCATGTCATTAGGCTTGAGGAAAACTTGGTTGTTTTTGGTGTGATCAGTCCATTCTGTTGTGCTACATCTCAGTGTGTCCAGTGCAAGCTTAACTAGTGTCAGTTAGTAACCAGTAAGCTTCTGCGTCGAATGGAGGTAAATTTAGTGTGCCCACCAGTATTTAGTTCAAAGATGAGCTAAATACCAGTGACCACTAAGTTTACACCTACTCCAAGTCTCCAGGTGGAGACTATACCTTTTGGTAGCTTAAATCGTTCGACGTGGTTCTTCATGGTTCCGTAAGGGAGTCTCCTGAAAAATTAGCTACTCTTAGTATCTCTTTGCTGATATAATGTTATCTGTATGTAACGCACGTGCAGGCAGAGCGCGAAATACAAAAAGGTCCTAATGAGAACCTCCAGGGTTTCCTCGACGCGGTCGACCGGCTGCGCAGCATCGAGCGCTTCTTCAGCTCCAATAGGAGCTACAGCAGCAGCGACCGGGTGCTCAGCCACGTGAACGGCCTCCTCTCCAAGGCCCTGGTGAAGATGGAAGGTGAATTCCAGAACCAGTTGACTCAGCGCAGGTCCGTGTCTCATCATCCATTTAAATTGCTATTTTTGTCTCGACGTTGTCTAACTCTTGCATGGTGCGCGCACCCTCTTAAATAAATGGTCCAGCAAACCGATGGAGCCTGACCGTCTTTTCGACTGCCTTCCGAGTACGCTTCGGCCATCAGCCGAGTCTCGGTCTGAAGGTGGGAAACACCCGCCAGGTGGCGCGCAATCTGATAACCATGAAACCGCGGAGGCTGCCGTATACAAGCCTCCTGCACTTATTGAGCCCAAGTTTGTTCCTTTGCTTGCTAAATTGGCACAGCAGCTGGTCCAAGCTGGATGCCAACAGCAATGTGCAGAAATATACAGGTAAGCGGAGCTAGACTGGTTATAATTCTCCTTTCTCGTTCATGCGAATAAGTACAATAGAAAACTTTTCGCGTGATTGTGCGACGCGAAATGAAGCTCTACCTTTAGATATACTTTGGGTAAGGAAATAAACTGGGTAAATTCAATAGTTCACACAATAATAAATCATCACATAATGAATGCTGCTAATATGATATAGTCTTGCTTTTGGATTCAAGCGGTCAACAGAAATTTCAGAGGCAGCTGATAGTTCTAAGTTGTTTTAGACCATTTATAGAAACAAAATAATTATGAAAGGTTTGGGGTGATATAATGTTTTGGGGACAGGCAGCGTTTATATGCATGTCTATAGTTACACAGATATGTCTGGCATTGATCGTAAGAAACTTCCTGATACGACAGTCATGGATAGGTATAAGGATGAATCCTTCCAAATTGGATAAGATAATTCTTACTATCTTTCTTTCTCTCAATTGAACAAGTAATTGGAAAATAAAACAGGAAGTACAAAAATGAGTAATAAACCCCAGTATATATTTCTACGATTCAATTCAACATTTTGTTCATTCGGGTTTGGTTGTGTCATAGTTCTTATGGCGGCGTTGAGCGAGCATTGTGCCTATGTTTAGTGCAATGACAGGTTAAGCGATGCCTAGGCGCGCTTAAGCGTTTTGTACGAACGTCTTACAGACAGGAACAAGGGCACCCAAAAAAACAATTTTCAAAGCATGTATTAAGCCTAAAATCACAAGCATGTTGGGGGAGGAGAGATGAGGGGGAGCTAGATGTCAGGGAAGGGGAAGAAAGCTGGCAGCGGCGAGGTCGGGGAAGCCACCATGCTCCAGCCTAGACGAGGAGGAGCCCGAGATTGGGGAAGAGGGGGAAGGACTGGTGGCGAGGTCGGGGAAGGGGAGCTCAAGGTCCAGCGGCGGGAAGATGGGTAGTGAGATCGGGGGAGAAAGCCCCACATCTGGTGGCACAAGGTCGCCTTGCTCTCCTCTGTTTCTCCCACCCTGCTCTCCTTTGTCTAACCCTAGGTGTCCGAGCGCTTTTTTCAACGTTTACCCCAAAAGTGAAGCGGTAGGCCTTGCGCTCAGCAGCGCTCCGCTAGGGGTACGCTCAATTTTCATTGCTTATAGTTGGAATTAGCTTTGCGTTCGATGAACTGCATTTATCATTTTATCCTTTATTAAGTGGTTCCAGTGAGAGTTATCAACTTTAACATAAAAAGGAAAATAGGTAATAGCATCTTTTTAATGACGAAATATTCTTGGCTTTCATGTTACCTTCAATGCTCAGGCACTTTACATCTCTAAATACTGAATTAGCCCCTCACAATTCATTAATATGTATTGTAAATCCTTGCCCCTGTAGACAAAAAAAAAACAGATATAATGTCGTGTTAAAGAACACAGAAATTACCACAGCAAAATAAGATTTCAGCAATAGAACACTAGAAAGTTGCCTCTCCATTTCAGCCATTTTACTTGCTGAAACATATTCTCCTTTTATATGCAGCGAAGCTCGTGCTTCAGCTTTAGAGTCGAGTTTGAAGAACTTGGGTGTTGAGAAACTGAGTAAAGATGAAGTGCAGAAAATGCCTTGGGAGATTTTGGAGTCTAAAATAGGGAACTGGATTCATTTCATGCGAATTGCTGTAAGGATCTTTCTCAAACCCTACTAAATAGCACTATAGCTTGCGTTTGTTGACACATGCTGCTTGAAACAGGTGAAACTTCTTTTCGCTGGGGAACGCCAGCTCTGTGACCAAGTTTTTCAATGTAGCCAATCTTTAAGGGATAAGTGCTTTTCTGCAATAACCAAGAACAGTTTGGCTACTCTACTCAGCTTTGGTGAGGCAATTGCTATGAGTAAAAGATCACCGGAGAAATTGTTTGTTCTGCTAGACATGTATGAGATAATGTGTGAACTTCAAACAGAGGTATATTTTTATTCAGACCATGCTTGTTTCACTGGCTAACGAGTGCACTTGTGTGCATAATGATAACAGCGGATACCAAATATACAATTCATCTGTTTGCAGTTGACACAAATGCTTATTCACTTGTGCCACCTTGAAAAGATTTCCTGCACTAACTGCCTTAACAGTTTGATTTGCTTTGGCTGGAGACATTTGAGCAATCATTGAATGTCGCATATGGTTACGGAAAAACAACAATTTCCGTCTGCAACTATTCAAATACTTATGATAGTACTCATGTGTTACACTTTGATGCCATACTTCTATCATTGAAGTGTTGGGCCATTTGTATTTGAGTATACCTTTTATGCATAAAATATGTTTTTCACCATGGCTTTGTTGTTCAGACTTTGATATCCATTTTAACTTGACAAATCTTGTAGGAAGATTGTAGACTTGTAGTGTAAATTCAATGTGAATTTATTCTTATATATAGCGGTAAGCATGGAAGTAACTAAAAGATTCATCTTTCAATTGACTGTAGATTGACACCATCTTTGTTGGAGAATCATGCTCTCAAATGCGTGACTCTGCACTCAGTCTGACAAAATGTTTAGCACAAACTGCACAGAAGACTTTCAGTGATTTCGAAGAAGCTGTCGAGAAGGATGCAACAAAGAATATTCATACTGATGGAACAGTTCATCCTTTGACAAGCTATGTGATTAACTATGTTAAATTTTTATTTGAGTAAGTGTCTAATCACCTGCACTTTGTTTTTGGCAATTGCATAGGTGTATGGTCATACTTTCATGTGTTCTTTCTAAAGTTTATCCACTGGGTTATGTTGATATTTGTGTTATGCACCTCGCTGCTGTTAGATTTGAACCTTTTCTGTAGCTTTCTACTTCACCAAAAAAAAAAACAAAAAAAGGGCAACCTGGTGCATGTAGCTCCCGCTTGCGCAGGGTCCAGGGAAGGGTCCGACCACTTTGGGTCTATAGTACACAGCCTTTCCCTACATTTCTGTAAGAGGCTGTTTCCAGGACTTGAACCCATGACCTCATGGTCACAAGGCAGCAGCTTTACCACTTCACCAAAAAAAAAAACAGACTTCCATTTTTACAGCTGTTTCAGTAATCAGAACAGATAGATCTACTTGTAGTTGTAGGTGAAACTTCATCTATTCCAGTCTTGTAAAGGTAGTGTTGAGACACTTCCAGTATTTCAGCTACTATCTCTGTTTCTAAATGTAAGACGTCTTGGCAGTTTAAATTGAACTGCCAAAACGTCTTATATTTAGGAACAGAGGGTGTATTATTTAATGCCCTTCCAGGCTGTGTTGGTTCTAGTAGTAGTAACTCCCTATCCATGTTATCTTTCAACATGTCACTTCTTGCTTCAGCTTCACAAAATAAAGGAACAACAGTAAGTAAATAATGACCTCAATCTGCTACTCTTGGTGCAGCTATCAATCAACTCTGAAACAGCTCTTCCAGGAATTCAAAAGGGAAGATGGATCAGGTTCTGAGCTGGCATCTGTGACCATGAGTATTATGCAAGCTTTACAAAATAATTTGGATGCAAAAGCAAAACAATACAAGGATCCTGCATTGATGCACATCTTTTTGATGAATAACATTCATTATATTGTTAAATCTGTCCGCAGGTATGCTCTTTATGAAGTACAAGTAAAAGTCATAATGAGTTTGTAAGAGTGTGAGTTTAGTCTAATGCTCTCTTTCCTTTCTTGCAGATCAGAAGCCAAGGATTTATTGGGCGATGACTGGATTCAAAGACATCGAAGGATTGTACAGCAAAATGCAAACCAATATAGAAGGGTTGCTTGGTCAAAGGTTCGTTGGCCAGAAATCTTCGATTAGAACTCATTGTGCCTATTTCTCTTGCATTTTGATGCCATCTTGTTGAAGCCTTTTCAGCCTCGTAAATAAATGTTCTCACTAAGAACTGTGAGTCCAAACTAACACTTGAAAATCTTATATCTATGTAGCTACTGTCTCTGAATATATAGGAGGAATCCAGAGATAATTAATGGCCTTAAACATACTAATAGTAATGCACTTCATAGCATGGAAAATCCAATTGACTTATTTGTTTTGCGGAGCCTTATTCTTTGTTGCTGAGGTATGATCGTGGTTAGGATTGTTGATTGATGTATATGTTCAGAAGGAAATTTTTGTGGCTTGAGTGTATCACTAGCTTTGGTCACCACTTTACCTGTTAGCATGTAAAAGACGATAATACTGCTTAGAAACTGAAAGTACATTTGGAAGAAATTGTAAAAGTGTAGGTAGTAAATATTTATGCGCACTGCCTTATTTTAGTTTGTTCCAATGTTGTAGGTGTTGCAATGCCTCTCGGGTCAAGGTTTGACTTCATCAGGAGGTAGTGGTCAAGTAGGAAGCGAAGGTGGCAATAGCAGTGGAGCTTCAAGAACAGCTGTGAAAGAGAGGTTGGCACATATGCCCTGAATATTTCAGCCTACTTTACTGTCTCTATGGTCTATTATTCCATACTGACATATTGTTTTCCTCCATGATGGTATCAGATTCAGGTCTTTCAATCTGCAATTTGAAGAGATTTATCAAAAGCAGTGTGGCTGGTCTGTTCCAGATTCAGAGTTGCGTGAGTCATTGAGACTGGCAGTTGCAGAAATTCTGTTACCCGCGTACAGATCCTTCCAAAAACGCTTCGGGTATTTTTCTTGGCACACATTGACACCTCATGCTCATAAACAGTGAATTTCAATGCGTCGACCCGAACCCGAGCTGTACATGCTTTTTGTTCTGAACCCTGGTGGCAGTATCTTAAATCTAGCCTTGTGCCACATTTTCTATATGGTATCTACTAACGTTAAAAATATATTCATTTACATCAGCATTAGAATAAACACAGTTAATCCATTTATTCCTATACCCTGTTGCACTTGCCACCTGGCAGCCATTTAGCTTATTTATTATCCTTTTTTTTGTGTGTGTTGATTAGACATTTAGACCTGAATCCCGAACATGCAGGTTAGGCTAGCTTATATTTGTTTGTGGTGAAAATTAACAACACATCATTTTTTGAGGGTTGGCTCATCACTATTTTCCGACCGACATGTTTAATCTCGTGAAATAACCTTCTTTTGGTGTTACTTGTTTACGAACATAGATGTTCGTTTCTCAAGATTTCTTTCAAAAACTGTTCTGTCTCAAGGTTGTAGCTCCTAGCTTCTAGTTCATCTGTAATTGTGTATGCGTATAAAATCTCTTTGTCGAATTGCAGGCCTCTCATCGAGAACAGCAAAGCGCCTGGGAAGTACGTCAAGCACACGCCCGAGCAGCTTGAGCTGTTCCTGGGCAACCTATTCGAGGGGAAACAAGAACGTCCTTGATAGCCGCGTCGCTACCCGCCGCGCTCTGTGTGGGTGCGACGATATTGCTGTAAATTAGACCCCTGGTTTGTCCATGTGACTGACTCCAACTGCATCGGCCCTTGCCTCGGTGCATGGTCTTTTGTACAGAGTGTAAGGTCTAGCTGTATGTCTTGCCTTGCTTATCAGAGTAGTAGGTGGTTTCGATGTGCTGAGATTCTTTTTGTTCTTTTGGGGGGGATTGGAATGCTGAAATTCTTGTTAGCATGTTCAGTACTGGTGGTGTGCAGCAGTCCAGCGTCGACGTAGTTCGTCGGTGTTTCCCTGTTCGGCCTTGTAGTTCTGCGTAGTGGTAATAAAGTTGACCAGAGTGATCAGATCAGTGGCTCGGTTATGGATTGTTGTATTATAGTTGACCGCAGTGATGAGTTTGAGCTATTGTGCATTTGCTCTGGTCTCCTTGTGACTTCTGGTCTTTGAAACTTTCTCCCAGGACTGGTTCAGAGGAATTGCTTTCTTTTGTCTACTTGAACAAGCCATGTTAGGATCCTTGTGGTGGAAGCAATCCTGATGGTTATGTCAGGGTGTTTCATGTGAAATTTACACATGTGCCACTATTATTTATTGGAGGCAATTTCAAATTCGTAATTACATGGATATGGATGGCATGTTCTTATTTAGGGAAAGCCGGCAACTTTATTCACTGGATAAATTTTTTATATGTTTGCTAATTGCGCTAAAGTATAATCAGCCCTTCTATGTTGAGAAGTTGCTTCCTAGTGGCAAGAAGGCGTGGGTGTTGAACTCCTTCCTTGACATCATGTATCGCATCTTTCATAACCCATTTCCACACATTGGTGACAAGGACAAGGTGCATGCCCATCTTGTGGATATGATGCTCATTTGTGAGGAGGTCCGCCACTCTCAGTCGCAACCACTTGATGTCTCATATATCATATGGTGCGAGCTTCGGTTTGTGATGTTCACCCGTAAGGTACCCATCTATGGACCTTACTTGTTTTCTATTGATCTTGAGGACTTGGGAGAAGCTCTATCCCGATGATGAGTTTCTTGCCTTTACCCGGATTCGTCATGAGCCCATCAAGCTCCGTGTCAAGCCCCAGTGGGCCAACACTACTACCCGTGCCGAGTCAGCGGCTGCTCAGATGGATGTGGATGCAGATGAGATTGAGGAGGAGGACGCCGATGAGGACAGCTCTGCTGGCTACTCGCCTTCATCTTCTGAGCCCTCTTGGGCTAAGAAGCTGAAGAACAAGATGAAGGCTCTGTTCTACATGCAGGCCAAGGAGCAGTACCGGTCTCATGTTGCTCAGAAGGAGAGTCGACGCCGCGACAAGCAGATCTTGAGGACGTTTGGTGAGCAGATATCCATCGGGTCTGAGAGGGTCATCACGTCAGAGGCAGCTTGCGAAGTAGGGCTACCAGTGGATTGATTCTGAGGAGGACAAGGAGGAGACCGTCCCTGCTGCCAAGTCTGACGAGGAGCGTGCGAGTGATTACTCCGCTTGAGCCACCACTTGTGTTGTAGGTGTCCTTTCTGCCTTTTTGGTGTCTCGATGCCAAAGGGGGAGAGAGTGTAGGATTTGCGAGTTGTGTGTCGTGTTTTCGTTCCACTGAACCTCGTTTGCTTTGGTTTGGTTTGCGCTTGTGAGACCTTTCTATCATATGGTGTAAGACATATGCACTTTATCGTATCTTACTGAGCTTATGCTATCTTCTGCTATTTACTTTATGCTCATATTTACTATCTTGTTTAGTGTTAGCCTTATTGTTGCAAGATATGCCTCGTCTATAAAATATAGGGGGAGTGTTGATCCTAGTATGTGTGCCGTGCAGTCCAAAGCACGTATCTAGATAGCACACATCTAGGGGGAACCCGTCTATATTTTGAGATGTGGGGTTTGCTCATGTTCTATATTATCTCCCTTTGTGCAAATCCCGTATTGTCATCAATCCACCAAAAAGGGGGAGATTATAAGGGCATTTTTATCCCTTAGTTGTTTTGGTGATTGATGACAATGCTTTTGCGGACTAATCATGTGCATTGAGTATCTCAGACATTTCATCACTAGGCACAAGACGATTTGGTGCCCCTCGAAGACTATTGAAGACGGTGTTTCTCTATGTTTCTTTTCGGTGGATTTGAGTCGTAGGAAAGCCATACTATTAAAAGGGGGTCCGCTTTGGAAAGGTTTGGGTGGAATCATCACATACACATCTACTCCTTTGCATCGCCTTTCCTTCGGCACTTTGGAGCATCCTCCGTCTTTTCTTGTCTATGCAAAATGTCGTGTTTGCTGATCTGGGGCATGCGGTAGTACTGCTCCTAGGAGCGGTAGTACCGCAGGCCCTTGCGGTAGTACCGGCCTCTGGCGCGGTAGTACCACAAGTGCCCACGGTAGTACCGCTTCCTTGGAGCGGTAGTACTGTGGCCTCAGGCCAGGCGCTGCTGCTATTGCGGTAGTAGGGGCAGATGTAATTTTTTTACATCCGTGCCCTACGCGGTAGTACCGCGCCAAGTGCACGGTAGTACCGTGCACTCTGGCCAGGCTCAGCAGCTTGCGCGACAGTAAGAGCGGATGTAATTTTTTACATCCGCACTACGCGCGGTAGTACCGCTCCTGGCTTGCAGTACTACCGTGTCGGATTTTTGCATAGATCCCAACTTAGTGGAAGTTGCCACGGATAAATTTTGTATGTCTGTGCCTTCCCAAAATCTGGACCATCCATGCCTTGCGGTAGCATCGCAAGGGGGAGCGGTAGTACTGTGCCAGCGGTTCTACTGCCCTCTACTTCATTGCATCTGGGTTGTTCTGGTTTCTGCTGCTCGGGCAGTAGTACCGCGGGGCCCTGCGGTAGTATCGTGTGCCCTTGCGATAGTACCGCGTCCCCGGCGCGGTAGTGCCGTGCTACGCAGGCTGAGTTGGTGGGTAACGGTTGGATTTGTTCTTCCACTATATAAGGGGCGTCTTCTTCTCCGAGTTGACTACTGATGACCCACAAGTATAGGGGATCTATCGTAGTCCTTTCGATAAGTAAGAGTGTCGAACCCAACGAGGAGCAGAAGGAAATGATAAGTGGTTTTCAGCAAGGTATTCTCTGCAAGTACTGAAATAAGTGGTAACAGATAGTTTTGTGATAAGATAGGTTGTAACGAGCAACAAGTAACAAAAGTAAATAAAGTGCAGCAAGGTGGCCCAATCCTTTTGTAGCAAAGGACAAGTCGAAACAAACTCTTATAATAGGAAAAGCGCTCCCGAGGACACATGGGAATATCGTCAAGCTAGTTTTCATCACGCTCATATGATTCGCGTTCGATACTTTGATAATTTGATATGTGGGTGGACCGATGCTTGGGTGCTGTTATTACTTGAACAAGCATCCCACTTATGATTAACCTCTATTGCAAGCATCCGCAACTACAATAAAAATATTAAGGTAAACCTAACCATAGCATGAAACATATGGATCCAAATCAGCCCCTTACGAAGCAACGCATAAACTAGGGTTTAAGCTTCTGTCACTCTAGCAACCCATCATCTACTTATTACTTCCCAATGCCTTCCTCTAGGCCCAAATAATGATGAAGTGTTATGTAGTCGACGTTCACATAACACCACTAGAGGCTAGACAACATACATCTTATCAAAATATCAAACAAATACCAAATTCACATGACTAGTCATAGCAAGACTTCTCCCTTGTCCTCAGGAATGAACGTAATTACTCACAAAGCATATTCATGTTCATAATCAGAGGGGTAATAATATGCATATAGGATCTGGACATATGATCTTCCACCAATTAAACCAACTAGCATCAACTACAAGGAGTAATCAACACTACTAGCAACCTACTAGCACCAATCCCGGACTTTGAGACAAGAATTGGATACAAGAGATGAACTAGGGTTTAGAGATGAGATGGTGCTGGTGAAGATGTTGATGGAGATTGCCCTCTCCCGATGAGAGGAGCGTTGGTGATGACGATGGTGATGATTTCCCCCTCCCGGAGGGAAGTTTCCTCGGCAGAACACCTCTTCCGGAGCTCTAGATTGGATCCGCCAAGGTTCCGCTTCGTGGCGGCGGAGTCTCGTCCCGAAAAGTTCCTTCCTATTTTTTTTCTCATCGAAAGACCTCATATAGGAGAAGATGGGCGTCAGAGAGCCACCAGGGGGCCCACGAGGTAGGGGGGCGCGCCCTAGGGGGGCACCCCACCCTCGTGAGCAGGGTGTGGGCCCCCTAGCCTTCATCTTTGGCGTGGATTTTTCTTTATTTCTTTTAAGACGTTCTGTGGAGTTTCAGGACTTTTGGAGTTGCGTAGAATAGGCCTCTAATATTTGCTCCTTTTCCAGACCAGAATTCCAGCTGCCGACATTCTCCCTCCCTATGCAAACCTTGTAAAATAAGAGAGAATAGCCATAAGTATTGTGACATAAAGTGAAATAACAGTCCATAATGCAATAAATATCGATATAAAAGCATGATGCAGAATGGACCTATCAACTCCCCCAAGCTTAGACCTCGCTTGTCCTCAAGCGAAAAGCCGATAACAATTAATATGTCCTCATGTTTAGAGGTAGAGGCGTCGATAAAAATAAAATACGGACATGAAGGCATCATGATTATTCTCATAACAACAACATATATAGATTTTGTCATATGATTACTTATGTTCAAGTGATGATCTATTCACAATGCAAAAGTATAAATCATAAACCTTATTGGGCTCCAACAAACTATAATCTCAGTCATTGAAGCAATTGCAATTTATCATAACATCGGAAAGAGTCTATGTCAGAGCTAAAAAGTAAGTCCACATACTCAACTATCATTTAGTCCTCCATAATTGCTAACACAGAGAAAGATAGGGGCCTATAGTTTTGCCCCACAACCTTTTACCTCAAGGGTAATGTCAACAATAATGGTTCATGCTGCCTACATCCAATTAGATATATATATCATGTTCTTTCCAACATGCCGAGCTTGCCAAAGGATAAA